AGAACTCGCAGATATAGTTCCTAGTTGAATGGGTGTAGTGAATATGTCCCTTCAAAGAGATCGTATTTTTGTATTTTCCTAAACATATTGGACATTCCACTTCGTTTTCCAAATGGCTCTTCCGATGGGCAGGAAAATTTGAAGGAGTAATGTAAACGCCACAAATGTCACATTGCTTTTTATTGTGGGTGGCTGTATGGGCGGTACGCCTGCTTTCATTGGAAAACGTCTTCTTACAGTGATAACAGTGATATATGCCGGGTTTTTCTTCTTTGTCAACTTTGGCATGGTGGGCACTGAAAGATGAGAGTGTTAAGTGTATAGAATAACCTATTTTTAAGCTTACAGTGTAATTTTGAAAAGGAAACCAACCTGAGGTTGTAAATATATGATACATACTACTCTAAAACAGTTTCACAAGCAAATTCTATGGTCTATTCGCTCAGCTCAGGAATATTTTGACAGATTCATTGTCAAAAACAACAATAAAAATCCTACCTCTCAGTATTAATAGCTCAAATAAACTTACTGTTGCAGACTTCTTTCGTTTTAAAACTGGAGTTTTTCTGTGAACAGTACCAGCTCTGTTGAAAGAAGTAAGTGAGCTTAAAGAGAGTATAAATAAAATTCTACCCAAGGAAAATGTCGCATCTGTTGCACCAGAAATGGAGGATATTATTTCCGAAATAGACGAAACGAGACCCATTAAGGTAGTATTAAATACATCTGAAGATGCTAAAACTATTGTCAAAAATAAAAGATTAATTAGAGTGCCGGATGTCAGAATTTCCCTAGATCAAACAAAAGCCCAGCAAGAGTATTTCAAGAAATTAAAGTTAGATGTTATGGTTAATGAAAGCGACAACTCTAAAACAATCAAATTCATTACTAATAAGAACTTGTTAAACAAAATGGAATAATTTTTAAAACACTACAGTTGGTGTCCGGTGTGAGATTAAATTCAGCAGTGACTTCTGAACTTTTGAAAAGTATTGTTCGTCAGGAACATCCACGTAGTTCAAAAGTGATCTTTGTACGAAAGAACATTTAAGAAAAAGTATGTGGGTGTCTGACCAAAGATGCTGCTAGTAGAACTTTCAGTAAAGCAGTTGCGTTAGCAACTAGAAGAACGCGATGAAGACTGCAGCGGGTCCAAAAAGATACTCCAAGAACGACTGAAGACTGTTCTCAACAATAATGGAGACGACCCAGAGACATTTCAGTTTCAATCAGCAGAAGAAGCCGTTTTAACTAAAATAATTTATGGAAAATTCGAGAACATTTCCAAAAGATTCGATGAAACGTCTCAAATGATTGAAGAAACTTAAAAAAAATTATAATAAATTTGAAAACGTCTCGCAAATGATTGACGAATCTTCTCGAAAGAATGATGAAAGATTCGATGAAACGTCCCAAATTATTAAAGAAATAGCTAGACAAAATGACGAGAAATTCGACAATGTATCTAGAAGATTCGACGAGACTTCTCAAATAATTAAAGAAATGTGTATTCAGAACAATGAGAAATTTGAAGAAGTCTCTAAAACATTCGCTTTTAACACATTTTGAATTTGTGAGAAGTACAATTAATATGTTCAACATTTGTGAGCAATATTTTCTGCAAAATTGCTGAATTACTAAATTTATCTGAACTTATCTAACTACACACCTCGCGCAAATAAGTCTCTGTCACTCGTGCCGGTGACAATTAAAATTGCCAAATTAAAAAAAAAACTGTGGAATATATTTGCATTCCCGAATGTTCAAAACATGACATTCGTTACATCACTAATATATATATATATATATATATATATATATATATATATATATATATACAGATTGAACGAAATAAATTCGGAACATGTAGGTGGTTGGCCAACAAAAGGTTGTCAAATAATTATATTATAAAAATCCAATACTTCAGCGGGCTGCTGGATTCTGAACTAATTCAAGAGCTCATTCATAGGTACTCAAACCACCACTCACGGTACAGCGGTGTCGTTCGACATAATCGGACAGAGGCGTTGTTCAATTTGTTGGTATATCTGGTGCGCCCACACACCATACTGCGCCGCAGTATTTGTTCGGTTCCCGACCATGTCAAATCAAACAATCATTTTAGCATCTCTTACTTTGTGTATAACTAAGCGTAAAAAGAAACCTAAAATAAAACGTAGATTCTGGTGCAAATAATCCAAGATTTTGGTGCAAAATAAATCTCGTCTGTCCCTGCACCCGATTTACTGGACTGCACTGCTAATTTTAATTCTCTTTTATAGGATGTTCGAAAATTGTTATTTTTTTTTTCTTACATACTCTTCATTCGCATCTTTGTTTACTTCTTGGAACTTTAAAACTAGAATGTCCACTGCCTGTTTTCGGGCGTTTTTATCGTGATACATTTTACCTTTTATTCGCTATAAGCATTCTTGTTTTTTATATAATTTAAAAAACTCTCTTAAAAAATTCACGCTAAATCAAGCCATTTCGACTTTCTATAATATGATCAAAGCAAGTGTGCAGTTAAAAACGAAGTTGAACAACGCCGCTGTATCGTGAGTGGCCGCCTTTAGGCAAGCCCCTCTTTTGTTTATCGGAGATGGAGATTTTGAGCGGTGTTGCCAATATCATTCCACTAGATGTTTCTAAAATAACTACAAACTTCTGAAATAACTACAAACCATTAAGTTTATTTTTTAAATTAGTCTGTTGTAGTAGATTGGTAAATACAATGAAAAATATAGCAAATATCCAATTTATTTAAAGATACGAAGAAGATATAACTCTCAAAAAGATCCGCAAATCGGATTATTACACAGCGATTGGCAACATTGACTTTGAGCTACGCTCTAGACTATGGTGCGTTCTAAAAGGAGAAGGATAGTTGAACGATATTTTATACAATGTCCAACACCGGGTATGGATTTATTTTTGCCCAAGTTTTATATTGGTCCACTATTTCAAATGCAGTTCAAACAGACATCTATTAAATTGTATGATCAGTTTTAAATTCTTTCAATCTGTTTATGTATTGTAAATACTAATTTATAAACAACAATAAAATTTCAAAAATAAGCCATTGTTTTAATGTAGTTTTATTTTGTTAATAAACTATATAAGAATGTTTTTTTGTTTACATATTGGCTATGAGCATGTAAGCTTGGTTGCTTAATAATAATTACTAAATTTACTAAACAGTTGGCACTGTGATAGTGAATCACATTTACTAATTTTCCCTTCACTTTATTAGAAACAATACAAATCTCCTTTTCAACCCCTATCAGTTGGCAACCTTATTTGTCCTGTCCCTAGAGAACAGAATATATATTAAATTCAGTTTAGTATGTCTATCCCCTACATAAATCTGTTTTCACTAACTTTATAAAACAAAAACTACATTTTAAATGAAGATAACACATAATATAACAAGTACACATGATATAATATCCAACAGAACTTACCTCTTAAAATGTATAATATACAAAGGCTTATAAAAGAACGATCCATTGCAAATTTTGCATGTCCAACTCTTATTAGCTGGATAATCTATATGTGCCTGTGCTAAATGCTCCCTATATGTATGTATATTGGCACAATTCATGTTACATTCATCACACTTAATGGTAGAAAAATAATGGAATTGCACATGGTCCAGCATATCCTTATCTAGAAACTCTTGACCACAGATCTTGCAAGGAACTTTTTCACTGTCATCAGTGTTGGCTTCTGCTAAGAAATTAGAAAAAAGAACCGGTTCTTCAGTCTCAGTCTCTGTTACAAATACATTCTCTACTGAATTATCTTCGTCAGATTTGAGTTCAGTTTTTACTGTTTCATATTGGACAGCAATCTTCAAATCTTCTGTTTCAAGTTCAGATACAGTTGATTTTGGAGAATTTCCTTAAAAGTGTAAAAATTAGTATATTCTCTAATATCTTACGATGTTTTTATAAAATAATACAATATATAATATAATAATTATAATGTAATATAATACTACTCAACAATCCAACTTATATTGATTAAGAAAAGGACTTACAGGAATCAAATATACCTACTGCTCAAAGGAGTGGATGGTTCAGTACTAGAGCGTCCTTCATAATCGTGATCCAGGATACATTCCTCCACTGACTGAATTTTTTCTTCTACTTCTACTGCATTATCAACTATTCTAGTTTTTATGTCCAGTTCATCCATATTAATTTCCTCTAACATATGTAACTTTCTGTCAGCTTCTAGAATGTTTTGCTGAATTTGGAAAGCAAATTTTAAATTGAAACAGCATTTGACACATGCAATTGTTGGAAATGGCTCGTCTTCGTCGATCTATAAAATAATATTTTCCAATTTTATCACAATTAAATCTGGTATAAATGGTAGGTTTTAAGGATTTTTTTAAACATTTAAAAACGATGTCTAGTATCTATAGGCAAATAAAATAAAATATTTATGCAAATTAGTAGCTGACATGCATAAAAATCGCGATTTTTTTTTTAAATCCTGCCCTCAACCTATTTTTGGCATTACCTTTATTGCTGTCAGAGCTTCTAAAAATACTGTATTATCGTCATTAAGTAATGAATGCGATATAACAGTTTCCGACAAACACAGGCGACAGAATTTCTTTTTGTTAATTTCCAGTCTATCCATTTTTGTTTGAAATCAAAAATTAAATTATTTAATTTTCGTTTATTTTCATGACACTTCGATGACTGACAAGTGACAGAACACCTACAAGGAAAATGGGATGTTCCACTTTATAAATGTGGAAATATAAACATAAAGTCTGTTGTTCGGAAGTTATTTTCTTGTGACATTTTAATATTATTTACTTTCTTTAATAGAAATTAACGACAATTTTAGTTGAAAATAAACGTATTTTTTATTAAATCTGGTTTTTCTTAAATGATTTTGATAAATTAAATATAGAATATTGCACAGTATAAATAAATAACAACCCACAAGCAAAAATTTTCTAAAAAATAAAAATAAAAAGAAGATAAATACAAAATTTATATCTTCACAAATTTGAACATAGCCTAAATCTTTGTTCCTGTTGAACGTTTAGTAAGTGACATTTATATTGACATTCACATCACACTTCATTTCATTGTTCATTTCATTCTTATCCAAGGCTGCCAGGTCTAGGGATTTATCCCGAATCTAGGGATATTTCAGTATAAAAGGGACAAAGGGATTTTTTTGATATTTAGTGTAAAATCTAGGGATTTTTGACCGGCTCAAATATTTACCCACGTAGGCCTATTATAATAACATTTTCTTTAATTCAGGTATAAAACCACTTCGTATTAACAGTATTAAATACACGATCTTTCATTACAACTAATTAAACTAACAGTAAACTACTTAAAGATTCTATTATCAGATGTCGCTAACTGTCCACGTTCTTGGAATCTTTATTTTATACTACCAAATAGATTTCTGTCAAAAGTAGATTCCTATATATTTTCAGAAAGAAGCAAATTCTGGAGCTGGAATTAGGGGATTTACAAAAGTCCCAGCTTTTATAAAATAAATAATTAGAGGATTTACAGTAGGAATCAGGTGATTTACAGGATTCGTGAAAATCAATAAATAAAATTCTATGCTTCACCGTTTCATTTCTCTTCAAGTTGTATTTTGTATTAATTTTATTAAGTAAATATGTAAAGAATACGTACGTTATTCCGTTTTTGTTAAATTTATTCAAATGATGGCTATTGTACTGTTTATGAAATAAAGGTATAAAACAACAATTTTTTATATCAATGTTATTATATTAGGCAACTATCAATACATCCCATAATTTTATTCAGAAATAGGCAACCATATATACATTTATTCCAATCTAGGGATTTCGAGGGATATTTAAATGTTCAATTTAGGGAGGACAAAAATTTTCACCTGGCAACCCTGTTCTTATCCATTCATCATCTTGTATTTACATGGAAGTGGGTGAGATTGTATTTTAAATTGTTAAATACCTTAATTTATATTTATTGCTTCAGAGAATTTTATGTTTGTTAGTCGCAACTTCCGATAAAATGTCATCGCCTATAGAAAAAGATAAGGAAGAAGGGGAAATCGTTGATGATGATTATGAGGAGATTTCAGACAACTCGATCTCGTTTCCATTAAATGAATCTGGTAAGTCTCATCCTTCTAAAGAACGAATGTCTGTGATATGTTTGAGCAGTCTCAGCGAGTTTGAGGAAGAGGAGTATCAAAGGAGAGTTGGGAAACTAATGAAAAAGGGTCGGAAAATGAAGCATCATGGTCACCATAGGAGAAAGAAAAAGTACATTGGAAAAACTCACAAGAGTAGAAAGTGGAAAAAAGTGCTTAAACATATAGAATCCAGCTCTGATGATGAGTCTATAAATTGTCGTCTTGTTAGGAAACAACTTAAAGCTGCTATTAGGGTTGAGTCACCATCGGTTGATTCCACAGTTAGGACTGTAGGAAATCAAGTGAATTGTTTGAAGAATAGATTAAGGGCCATGACAAAACTAAATGATGATGGTGTCGTGGAACAACAATGTGATATTATTAAGTCTGACATTGAGAACAAAGCAGATGATCCGATTGCAGATTCTGGAGATGCTTTAGAACAAACTGATATTGAATTGACTCAGTTACGTTTAGAAGCATTAAGAACAGCTGTATTAAATAAATTTGAGCATAGGAAAAAGAGGAAACATGAGGAATTGCAGAAAAATCAGGAATTACCAAATATTGACAACTTAGAAACCAACAAGGAGAATAGCATACAAGAAAATGGGAATATTAATCAGACATGTACAGATAAACCGAATTTACAACCCACATCTCCTGATGAAGAAGACGAAGATGTTTTAAGGGCAATATTGCTAGCATCTATGTCAAAGAAAATGCCTAAATTTGCTGAGTCCAAAAGTCCTGAAGAACCTGAAGTAGAAAAGGTAAAGTTGAATCAACCTGTTATAAAACCATTTATTATACAAGCAAAAAAACCTGTGCCATTAAGACAACATCAAATCAAACCAATTATTATAAATATTGGTAGCGATACAGAATCAGAAGATGAACAAAATACTAGGACCATTATTAATGCAAAAACTACAGAGCTTCCTGTAAATGGATATCAAGTAGGCAAAGAAATAGAAAGTACAGTGGAAAATTTCTTAAAAGAACAAAGAGCAAAGATTGAGGAGGTTCAGGCTGTTACTAAACAAGTGGCTCCCCCTAAAAATCAAACTGTTGAGATAACTACACCAAAATCCAAGACTCAACCCAAAATGAATGAATCTGTGATACTAGAAAAGTCTTCTGTTAAATTACTTACCAAAGAAAAACAATTAGAATATCAGAAACTTCTACAAAGGTTAAAAATGGCTCAAAAGAAGCCAAAAATGAGACGGGTTTCGGTTAAAGGGACTGAAGAGGGCAACAGCCCAAGGAAAAATGTAAAGACTAAGTTAATCAATCCTCCAAAACTACCAGTAGTGAATAAACCTTTTAGTGTGCAGCAGGATGCTGGGAATTTACATCTCATTTTGAAGCAAATGCAGAAGGAACATAATGGAAGGTATTTGTTTGTTTTATTTTATTTTCCTGGTGTTATTTTTTCAATTGAATTGATTTGGAAATTCAATGAAGTATTTACTAAATATATACAATATTAAACAAAAAATGTAACTAAAGTTTATTTAGATTTAGGACATAAAATTATTGTTTATTTATGCTCTATACTTTTTTTAATATATCTAGGTATTAAATTTTTTATATATAGCCAGGTACACACATGCCAGTAAATTGGAAAAATAGCTGGCATAGGCCAGTAACTGGCAAGCACAAAACACATTTGTAATTGGCATGTAGTAGCTAGTAATTGGCATGCCAGTAGCTCACTTGCCTATACTGGCAAGGCAAACAAGCAGGGTAGATTTTTACACATGCCAGTGCTAGTAAACAATCAAGTGGTTTTCATCTGAAACTAAAGTACTTGATGTTTAATTGAAAGTTTTTCGAGTTTTCAACAAAATGTTGAAATCAACAAAAGCGAATGAATTAAACAAGCAAATATTGATCATGACCACGGATATTTTTAGAAATTTAATAATTAATCAAATGTGGAGTTCAAAAATAAAGAAAAATTTGGGTGAGAAATTGGATTAGTAGGCGAGAAAATCTTGGAGCAAGTGCTTGTTTACTTAGAGAGATGAACTGCTTGGAAAAATTAAGAGCAATATTCAAAAAAATACCCACATGCGAGATGCGATCCCAGCAAGGACTAAATTGGAAATAACTTTTGAATTTTTGTGTAAGCACTGTCACGGGCTATTTTACTTTTATATAGAGTTGATTTGAAATTTCGAAGACACTCCAATTCTCTATATATAGCAATAAATTTGATGGTTTTTACATCACCCTAACAAAATTTTGTTTAAATTAACATGTTTAAAAATAAAACAATTAATTTTTATCACCAACACAACAAATCTGGCAATTCTCTGTTAGCTATCGATATGCCCATAGCATTAGTGGGACACTCCCCAAGCATGCGCCTTGTATCTCACAGGATGCTACTAGCAAGAAAAATCAAATTCTTTTCGATTAGCTAGCATGCCAGGAACTAGCATGCCAGTTAACATACACACTTGCCAGTTTGGGGACAGTATCTGGTGGTTGCTAGGTACTGGTATGCCATTGTGCTAGTAAGAGGCATGTGTATCTCCTGCTCATTTGCTCTAATGCCTGAAATAATATGAAACACAATGTTTGTTTTTTACAGGTTCTGAACATTCTTTATTTGTCATAGTTTTGAGATTCTTTCTATCACATTTTATCCATTAAAATTGCTTTTATTACCTTCTTTTTGTTCACACTTGTTTACAGAACCTTTGAATAGTTCTATTGACATCTTGGACTCTGTGGAGTGGACAGAGTATAGCGGTTTCCTATTGACTTCTGTATTCTTATGCGGTTTGCCATTCATTTGAGTTATACACATTTGGGGCTGATTTCTCAACTCCAAGGCAAAATAGTGCTATATCACTTATCAACTCATCTGCCCGAAGCCATTGGTCAGTAAGTTAGGATGCTTATTTTATCAAGATCTATTAGCATTTTATGTTCTCCAGTTAAAAGAGTATTAAATTATTAAAAACCACATAAATCACAAAGGTAGTCAAATACATTCCTCAAAACGAATTTCCAGATCAATTTTTTTAAATAATGAATGATTTGTAAAATTATGTTAGACTATTTTGCTCTTGAATTTGTTAATGATGAAATTTAATGATAATCACCACAATATAATACTATCCACCCTTCACTCATCCCAAAAATAAAATCCTAAACAACACTCGTGTTGTTTTTGGACACCCTGTAAATACACACCTGGCCCAAAGATTGCAGATTGAGGAAAAATATGTTGTTCTCACTCCCATCATCAAGAAAATAAACGAAGCAACGACGGAGAGGAGGAAATACGACCAAGAAGTGAAGCGGTTGTTGGGAGCATTGGCGGACGCAAAAAGGAAATTGCATAACTCTCACCAGACGTTTTCCATGTACGTTAAAGAGTTAACCAAGAGGAAGGAAGAGATTGATAAGAGGTTAGTTTGAGTATCTTCAAGGTACAGTATGGTTTTTATATCTATTTAGGTTAAGGTAGTTGTACAGTGTTGTAGTCAAGATGGTAACAGTTGCAGCAATGACAAAAAATATTTAAATTTTAAATAAAATTATGTGTAGAATGTATCGTGGCCACTCAATAAGAAAAGTAGTGCATCTGGACATCTTCTTGTAAAACATACTCTTTTTTGTGGCTATAATAAGAAGATAATAAAGTGATTTACTCACGAGATCTTCAGAATCTTGCTCAATGTTCACATCTCAAAAGATCTAAGTCTTCTTATCACTTTTGTGTTATAAAAAAGAACCTTCTCCATTTTTATGATGTTGGTACATTCTTTTTCAATTATTTCAGCATATAGTCGTTATTATCTGTCGTTTTAGTTGTCCCAATTATGTATATATCTGCTCACTGCACCCTAATTTGATATTCAATATTATCATCAGCCTAACATTGTTAATTAAAAACCCATTTACTTTTATCCCGGCGTATATCGTCGTTCATATCACTGTTATAATCACTAGATATGGTTTTTAAATATTTTTTAGACCTAAAACACCGATTAAGAAGAACGGAGTATCTACGCCGCCGTTAACATCAACACCGAACAAATCTCAAATCTCCGTAGCGCCACTAGACGTGAGCAAAGTTTCAGTTACTTCTAACACTACCTGTCCCATTCCTGACATTAGCACCACTCTAATAGCACCTACTAGTCAACCATCCAGTCCCGCACTTAGCACTGTCTTAATATCTGAAACGATGCTTGACAGAAGCGGTGGTGAGTGTAATATGGATATCGAAGAGCAACACCAAGGGGAGATCATTGAAAATTGTATTAATGGGAAGGCCGAAAGTGCAGATGATTTGAGTTGTGGCGATCCTAATGATTTGATGTTTTCCATTGTTGTTCCGGAAAAAGAGTCACCTTCCAAGGGTATTCCAGAATATGTATCTCCGTTGGATCATGTGAAAAGGTATAGTATAATAAATAATGTTAGTATAGTCTTTTCCAGCGTCTTTGATGTATAAATTATAGACAATAAGAATCAAAATCATTTTTGTCTGTCACTGAATGGAATGCATTCAAAAATGTAGAAATTTAAAAAATATAGAAAGAGGATAGTGATTTTCTAAAGCTTTCATCTACTTGGATGATCAACGAAACATTGAAGACTTGAAGGTAATCAGGAATGTTTCAAATGTTTCTGAATATCGTGAGATCACCTTAGACCATTCTGGAATGTTTTGGTGTTTTCAAAGAACTAGATAAGTATTTCAGCACCGACCTAGAGTATCTTAAAGGCCTCTGTGAGCTGCAGGAAATCCTGGAATATTTCAGAATAGTCTTCTATTGTTACATACATATCTGGAGAATTTATGTGTATCCTGGAGTATTTGGTATCTGTACTTTAAGTTTCACAGCACTTAGGCCAAAATTGACCCATTGTGCATCCTCCAGGGAGCTGTCGCCCTTAGGTCATTGTTCATCCTGCCATTTCTAGGAAGGTGGACAAGTCACCAAGAGACATCTCTCTTATGTGGGCAGATGTGGGCCAGGACTCGCCGAACGCGTACAGTCGTATTAACGATAACTCCGGGCATTCACATAGGACATGCTCTACAGTTTCGTCTTCTCGTTCACACTTCCTACATAGAGGTGCGTCTGCTAGCCCGTGTGTGGATGTGTTTGCTTAGTTGACAATGACCAGTTAAAAAACCTACTATCAAACATAAGTTTTTGTTGGCCATTCCCGAGTACTTCTTTGATGCTGACTCTTCAAGGTTACTTAGTGTTACCCTGGCAAGTTTACATCCTTGCCCTTCTTCCCATCTTCTTACAGTTTGCGTATGGTAGTGACATTTGATAATTTCCGCAATTGTTGTAGTTGACCAACCAAAAAGATCTCCAGTTCATAAGAGTTTTAGGGCTGCCACCTTCCTAGCCAATTGGTCAGCAATGCGGTTGCCTTTATTCCTATCGTGTCTGTATTTAAGCGTTAAGTATTTATGGGGGCTTCAGGAATATCTGAAATATGCCAGGACTGTTTTGTAGTGATATAGTCAAAAACTTCTGGAGAACTTCAGGCTATCCTGGATTGCTTCAATGACTTTTGACGATGTTCTGGACAGTTTTAACTGCTAGGTGCTTCAAATATACCTGTAAAAGATTGGGAGTGTCCTGTAGTACTGAAGGCACATCTGGAGGATTTCACGACAGCTTAGTATGTTTGATTACTAATACAGCATGTGCCATGGGTTTTTGGTAAACTTCAAGGTAATTTAGAGTGTTGTAAGTTTTATCCTGGAATATTTCAAGAACTGTGGATGAGTCCATGGTAGTTAGTGCAACCTGGAGTATTTCAAATCTATCCTTAAATGTTTCAAGTGTCTCCTGAGTCTTCAAGAAGGACTCTGGAGGGGAATCTAAAGTAGTATATTGGGGACTTGGTCTAGGTTGGACTTTTCCCAATTGTTCATAAATAGCTTCAAAGGTTTGTGTGAACTTGAATATTTTACGATTTTTCTTTGATGTTCCAAGCGAAACTGACTTTGATAACACCCTGGTGTATTTAATTACCGATATATGTAATAATAATAATAACCTTTATTAATAGCACATGGCTAGAAAAATATACATATAGATACATCAATTTATACACTTAAAATTAAATCACAATGCTTTGCTTAACATATATCTTACATACATTTTTAAATTGAGCTAAGTTTCCAGAAGCCTTAATGTTTTCCGGTAATTCATTGTATTGCTTTAATCCCCTATAAAAAAGATTGTTCTGACCAAAATTAGTGTTGACCCTATTCAGATAAAAGTTATTTCTAGAACGTGTGTTGTGTTCATGTACATCTCGAACAAAGGTACAATTATTACACAAATGCACAGGTATCAGACCATTTAACATTTTATAAACAAAAATCATACTATTACATACAATTGTCTGTCTTACACTTAAAACATTTGCCATTGTTAGCATGTCAGTTCTACTAGTGTATACACTACATCCTAATATTATCCTTAAGGCTTTATTTTGTTTTTTCTGCAGTACGTTCATTTGAGAAGCATTCATTAAAAACAGCAATGTAGAGCAAAAATAGAGATGGGGAGCAATAATCGATTTATATATGGTCAACCTAGACCAGCAACTTAAATTTTTTGACATTCTTCCCAATGCATAGATTTTTTTTGCTATTTTGTTTGTAACAAACTTAAAATGTTCAACAAAACTTAAATTTTCATCTATAATACATCCCAAATACTTATACTGAACCACTCTCTAGAAAGCAATATTATTAATTTTTACATCTTTTATTATGTTATTTAATTTAAAATTTTTGTTCTTTATAAGCATCATTTTTGTTTTAGTTACATTAAGACTTAAGGAATTATTATCGAGCCATTTTAATATATTACATATCTCTTCATTTATTATATCGATTATTTCATCTACCTTATCCCCTATTGCATATATCACAGTATCATGGGCAAACAACTGTACCTTACACTTTTTAACAACATCAACAATATCATTTATATACAGTATGAAAAGAGTAGGACCTAACACAGTTCCCTGTGGCACACCATACAGAGACTTCGGAGCCGATGAAATGGCACCATATTTTGTCACTTGTGTTCTATCAGTCAAATATTCTTGAAACCACTTTATAATTTTTTTACCAAAACCATACCTTTCCATCTTTCTCAATAGCAGTTGTCTGTTTATGGTTTCAAATGTACGTTTAAAGTCTAAGAAAACCACACCAATCATTTTCCCGCACTCCAGCGCACTCTTCCAGTCAAACAAAACCGTCTGCGTTGCACTCTCACAGGAATTTCCTCTCCTAAATCCTGCTTTGAATTTAGTTAACACATTATTGCTTTCCAAGTACTCCACTATTTGATCATTTACACATAATTCCAGCAGTTTTTCGTATGGTGGTACCATATTTATGGGTCGAAATTCCTCACACTTAACAGTTCCATGAACCTTCTCAATTGGTACAACCAGACTTCTCTTCCATTTACTTGGGAATACGCCACTTTCTAGACTACCATTTATAATATGCAAAATTTTGTCGCCTATTACTTCAAAGGAACTCTTTAAAATTTGAACTGTAATACCATCAACATTACTTTCTTTGTTTTTCATTTCTTTCATTTGTTTTTTTAAATCTTTCATTTCTAACATTTTGAATTTTTCCATTTTGCAGTCGACATTTATTGAACTACAAATTTGTGGGTTTTGTTTGAAATAATGCTATCTGCTATGTCTTTTACACTGTCTAGAAAAAATATATTAAATCTTTCACTTATCTCTTTACCAGTAACCCCCCCCCCACCATCAAATATTATTTCACTTTTAGCTTCATGGTTTTTTTTTGCCATTTACAAGCTCCTTTAATGTTTTCCACATTCTTGTTGGGTCGTTCTTACAATCATCTATTTTTTCCTGATAATAATTTTGTTTGGTAATTCTGATTAATGCTACGACTCTATTTCTTTGTTGTTTGAAATCATCCCAGTCAGTATCAGTTTTAGTAAATATAGCCTTTTTGTAATATTGATCTCTTTTTTTAATTTCATTCGCAATGTCTTCATTCCACCATAATTTATTTCCCCAAACATCCTTCGTATTAATAGACTTTTCTGGAGCAAACTGATCGAGTGCAGACAATACATTAGTTATTAGAATATCAGCATTGTTACTTACATCTGTAGAGGAATTTGACGGCCACTGCGTATCCATAAGTTTCATTTGAAATCCTGTCACATCCAATATATTGTACTTTCTATAGGTTATTGTAAGTGTCGTCTCATTGTTTCTACCCAGATCAGCTACAATTATCGAATGATCTGTAATCTTTGGAGTTGGGAGCACCTTGCAACTAATGTCTTTTTGATTTGTAAGTACTAGGTCAATCCTAGTAGATGTCGATTTTGTAATCCTTGTGTATTCGTTTATTAGCTGATAGGTACCATTTTTAATAATAATATCATTTAATTTCATAGAGTAAAAGTTTATACTTGCCAAATCTATATTAAAGTCTCCCAATATCACAAAGATAGCATCAGTCTCAATGCTATCTAAAAACGCATCCAACTCCTCCAAAAATTCCGCATGACTTGCACTAGGTGAATGGTACAGACAATAGATGTAATATTTCTGGTTTTCTATATTTATTTGTATTCCTGTTAACCATATATTCTTGTTTTTTTCTTCTTTAATAATTTCTTTATAATGATACCTTTTTTGTATATAAATTGATGTTCCTCCTGTATGTCTACTTGAAAAAAAAACCAACAACTGAGTTGTAGCCATCAATATCTATTTCATTTGATGCAAAATCTGAGGTAACATGGGTCTCCGATAAACACATAATAATTGGCTTTTTCTGACTTGCAATCCATGATAACTGTGTTTTATGTGTGCTAAATCCTTGAATGTTTAGGTACAGAATGGTTGGACTTGATTGCTATATTTTACAATTACCATGTGATAATTCAGGATACCTTATTTTTTCTTGTAATCGCTCTACTACTTTCTTATAGGCTTCACAATTCCTATCATATGCTTTATGTTTCAAATCAATATTGGAAACTTTTAAAACTTCTTCTGCATATTTGCAGTTTACACAACAAACTATACGTGATTTACAGTCTTTTACGTGATGCTCACCAGCGCATTGCTGACACGTGGGCGTCTCTTTTTTGCACTCTTTTGCAAGGTGACCGAACCTCCAACAATTGTAACACTGTTTAACATTTACGCTTTCTCTAAAAAAATAGCTCTTCCAACCAATATGCAACTTTTCATTTTTATTAATGCTTTCGTAGGTATGCACATCCATCTGGAATATAATATTTACCATTCCTTTTCTATGTGTTGAAAATGTTTCAAAGGAGTTTCATTCGGAGGACTTAAAGCTATCTTGGAATATTTTTTTACTCTCCTGGAATGATTCAAAATATTTTTAGAGGAGTTCAGATCAACCTGAGCGATTCAATTGATCTGGAGTAGGATTCAGTTTTTTTTTGAGTATTTCGGGAATGTCTGAACTGTTTCAAGGCTCCCTAGGAATATTTCACTGGCCTCTGAAGTATAGAAATAAATACCTATTGAACAAAAATTGTATGAGGTGGCTTCCATAATTGGTAATGCACGATATAATTGATAACAGTTTGAAATGGTTCTCGATGTGAAATATATTTTGTCTGTTTCAGGGAATGTCCGATCGATCCGTTCGTGATAATTTGCCCGTACGACATCTGCGGTAAATGCCGCGATAAAGAGTGCACTTACAAGCACTACGAAAATTAAGTGTAAGAAAACTTATTATTATTTTCTTAATAATTTCCTCAGTGCCTATTATTTACTAAATTTCTCTATTTAAGACTTTTATTAATTTCTATATCGTAGCATTATTGCTATTCAGTACAAATTTAAATTATTTAGTAAAACATTGTTATTGTTTAAGTATAATTTTTTAAAGACCTCGGCTCGATGGTGCGTGCGTTTGAACGTATACCCTTGTATATTTGTTACATAAGTGATATTATTTTTGTACTTTAATTATATAATAAAGATTTTTTTAAATCACTCAAATGTTTTACTCAGTTGTTTATTACATTTCCTTTTTTCGCCCCGGTATTTTTCTACGTACACTACAAACAGAGGACAACTGAAGATTTTGAGATTGTTTACAATTTTATTATATAAAACTGTTGGTGCCTGTTATAGTTTATTTTTATGAACGAGAGAGTAATTAGCATAATTTTAACTGGTACCTCCGACCACTCCATGGGCGTGCTCAAGATTAATTGAAAAATTACTTTGAATAATTGTAAAAAATAAATGAATTATTTCAATGTTATAAAGTGTTATGTGTATGTAAACAAAAGTGACCTCTTTTATCACACACTATATTAGAACTGACTGGCCTACAAAAAGGGTTTTAAAAAATTCACATTTTTTTTAATTTTTAAAAATTACAAAAGAGAAAAAGAGTTTTTAAAACCGTCTAAGGTATGTTAAATAGATGAATAAAAATATTAATATAAAACTTACAGCTACTTGTTACAAATCCAAATCAGATTCAGAAGATGAACTTTCAGAACCAAGATTTATAATAACTGGCTCGATTATTTTATCAGTAATATTGTCCAGCTTCCACATTTTTTCCTCTTCTTCAATAGTGTGATTTACTGCCTTTTCCCAGTTTTCAGGTTTTACATTATTTACGGCCTCCAAAAACAACTGTTTAACATCATGAAGTTTAAAAGTGATATTTTTTCTTGAAACTTCACTCTTTATCTGTGCCCATACCAGTTCAATCGGGTTTAATTCACAATGATATGGTGGGGATCTAAGTACTGTCATTCCACGATTTTTGGCAATTTCATCAATTTCGTATTTTTTAAATTTTTCTTTATGAAGGGCACACAACGAATAAAGTTCCTTTCTTATAGATCCGGGATGGTACGTAATATTTTTTGAACTCAGCCAATTCTGCAAGTCTTTTTTTAACCACTTGGTTGTGGGCAGTCCTTCTATAAGTCTGGAGTGATAACTTGCATTATCCATTACTATTACACAGTTCTTAGGAAGAAGATCTATCATTTGTTCGAACCATTCTTGAAAGACATTTTTTTGGTTTCTCATTTCCTTTATGGTTCTTAGAAAATGTCTTCTCCATATGACAATATCGCTTCTTTCTAATAAAATAGACTTTCTGGGATTCTTTTTCCAGCGGAAGCCTATTTCTTTTAAAAGTTTCTATAACGTACTTCGACTCATTTCTGGGTAATCCTTATCATCTCGAACTGAGACGAGAACTTTATCCAATGTTGGAAATTCTTGTCTAAAGAAGAATTCATGCACTTTCCGTCGAAGTCCTTCTTTAAAATAATATTCTATTTGAAATTTTGGTTTCCCTGGAGCATTACGTGGCATTTGAAAACTACCACATTTCTCTTCTTTAATAACTCTGTAAATCGTAGATTTCCCAACACCAAGTGTACTGCTAACTAACTCAACGGTCTCATCAACACCTTCACATAAACGTTTGTCTGTAAATGATTTAAAACAATTAAATATTAATGTTTTTTTCATTAACTGTTAAAGGACCAATTTTTCGGCGTTTACACGGCACTTCCAAATTTTCCATAACACTAGTATACACAATAAACTGCACCTTGCAACAGAAGTACCTACTTTTAGTGAACTGTTAAGAATTTTGAATACGCCACTTGGACCTTCCTACAAAATGGAAAAACCCACTATCACATTTTCTGTGGAATAAGTTTAGAAGGTAATTATCTAGTCAATTACTGTCAGATTCCTGTAATTAAAGAATTAAATGTTTGATTGTTGAAACCCTTACTTCGTGGAATGCACTCATTTCAGATAAAATAAAACGTTTTATTTTATCTAAAGAATTAAACTTTATTTTGCAAATAGGTAGGTACTTATTAATCTTTTATTGGTTATATATAACCAATAAAATAAACATCTTACATTTCTTGCAAATTCATTAGTACCTGTTAACCTCCATCACTCCGACACTGGCAACCTTATTTAGGGATTAGTAACCCTCACAACTATTGTATTCTATTCTGCTCCAACCTTTATACCTGGTGGTCATACTCAATTTAAAATTGTTTTCCTATATACTTCTGTAAACTTGTTGACAAATATCTGTTTTTCATTGAGTCAACCGTATCAACAGTTTAGGGATTTGCATACATAATTTAATTTATTGTTTTATTACTCTCTCATACATAAATATACACTATAAATTAGTTTCTACTTTTCCTCTATTTTTCATCCTTTCCTCTCTCGCTGTTTTTATTGCTCGTGTTTTTTCTCTTTCTTCTTTTATAGAACTTTTTCTGGAGTGTCTGTAGCTATCATGCTTTTACCTGGTTTTCTTCCACCAGCTTTCCTCTTCTTTACGTATGTCGTAGGGTAAGGCTAAACTTGTTCAGGGATATAAATATGTTAACATATTTTTTCCTGTGGGAGTCAATAGAAATCCTGCTTTTTTATTTTCATGAGTACAATTAGTTGTACTTCATATTGCACCTGATGCACTAACAGGAACAGAATGAAATGTGTCACTTGAACTTCCCGCAACTGACAGAAAAAGACATGTGGCGTGTGTAGGCTATTCACCTGAAGGTCCTGCAACAGTAACAGACAGCTATCTTGTATTACCTAAACTTACTGCAGGAGAAGCAAAATAATTGGCTGTTTCAGTTAAAATCCGTACTTCTGATGTGGTGTCTACTGACGCTATACTGGAACAATTTTTAATTGAGGGTGACTACTTGGCAAAATCGCACTTAAGGAAGCCCTTAACGATAACTTTTCAACGAAATCATATTCCACTTATCAATTTTGCAGAGGCGTACCAAAAAAAAGTTTAATTATTTATTTAAACATAAGTAATTAGGTAAAAATTAAATCTAAACCGATATAATTATTAAATTATCATGTCGATGCCGTTAATGCAAAATTTCATGTTAAAAATGCACTTTTCAGGAGATAAAAAAAACTAAATAATATTTACTGCGCGAGTAGTGTTTTTCTAGAAATTAGAAGATATATCTACTTAAAAACAAAGGACAATATACACTTGCGTGCATAGAAATCGGCCCACTGTAAACTTTTGACTTTAACTATATTTTTTTTAAGAAATATTCATCAGATCACAAAAACAAATATACTGTTTGAAAGACAATTTAATATGCTTTAATGTGAGTATAAATTTATCAAGAAGGCTTATCGTTTACATGTGTAGTACGGTAGTGTAGTGTACGGTAAACAAATGAAACGTGTTTATGTGGTGATTGTCACGAAAATAACAAATTTGTCTAATTGTAAAAGTATTGCCTTTGCAAGTGAAATTTGCATATTATTCGTTTTTCATAATCTCATCAGTGTTCAAGTGTATTAGTTTAATGCATACTGCACCACAAAAAGCCGCCCAAGTTATTGCTTTAATCGAAAATGGACTTAAGACAGCGAGCTGTTGCTAGACAATTGGATATGGCACGCGCAGCGGTTCGAAGAGTGTGCCAACGTTATGAGGAGACTGGATCCTTTCATGAGCGACCTGGAACAGGCAGACAGCGATTTACAACCGCTCGTGATGACCGCTTTATTGTGACAAGAACATTAAGAAATCGTCACCTTAATGCCGTTCAGGTGCAACGACAGCTCCGTGAGGTGCGAAGAGTGGCTGTTAGTCAGTGGACAGTGAGACGAAGACTGCGGGAAAATAACCTGACCCCTAAAATACCTGCGATTGGTCCAAAACTTACTCCAGCTCATCGGCAAGCATGCCTGCGTTTTGCACAGGATCATCGGAATTGGACGTTGGAACAATGGGGATCTGTTTTGTTCTCAGATGAGACCAAAATATGCCTCTACGGTAGCGACCGAAGAAGGAAAGTGTACCGGAGACCAGGAGAGAGATTTGCAGAATGCTGCTTTGAAGAGCGGAGTGCTTATGGGAGTGGTTCCTGCATGATCTGGGGTGCAATTTCTATAGGAACACGAACCGATCTTGAGTTCATTCGTAGGGACGACCGTGTTCACGGAAGAAGAGGTTTAACGGCTGCCAGATATATCGAGGAGATTTTAGCAATTCATGTGGTACCTTACGTCGACTACATTGGAGACGAATTTATCTTTATGCATGACAATGCAAGGGCACACACCGCAAGAATCGTGCAAGATTACATTGCAGAAGTCGGTTTTCAGGTTATAGACTGGCCAACAAACAGTCCTGACCTAAATCCGATCGAACATTTATGGGATGAGCTAAAACGAAGAATTTGAGCTAGACTTCATACCCCAGACTCGATCCCAGAGCTTATTTTTGCAGCAGAAGAAGAGTGGCTTAACATCCCACAAGCAACAATAGCAAACTTGACTAGATCTATGCCTAATCGTATGAGAGATGTTATTAGGACAAGAGGAGGTCATACCCATTATTAAAAAATTAAGTGTTAAGTTTTAAATTGTCAATAACCCTATTTATGTTAATAATAAAAAAGCTTAATTTGCTTAATGAATTCATTTCACTATGTTAAACATAGGAAGCCGAAATAAGTTTTCATAAATTTATACTCACATTAAAGCATATTAAATTGTCTTTCAAACAGTATATTTGTTTTTATGATCTGATGAATATTTCTTGAAAAAAAATATAGTTAAAGTCAAAAGTTTACAGTGGGCCGATTTCTATGCACGCAAGTTTATATGTATATCGTCTAATTTGGAGAAAACACTACTCACGCAGTAAATATTATTCAGTTTTTTTTTTGTCTCCTGAAAAGTGCATTTTTTTAACATGCCCATTTTGTATTAACGGCAACGATGTGTCTTTTAACAGGTATCTTATAGTTGTCTAACAAAATAAAGTAAAATTTTATTGTTATTATAGAGTACCTAATACAGTACTTCAAAAAATCTGAAATTTTAACATAAGATCTTGTTGTTACACTTCATTCTCTATTTATAGAATTGCTATAAACGTTACATTTGTTTTGTTTTAACTTGATTTGAATTGATTTAGTTGTTTATTTAAACAT